CTACACATTTTATTTATATTTTATCTATATTTCCATTACCTTCTTATGCCCAATATCCAAATGTTCAAGTGGGGTCTGCAAGAGCAAAATATTTAGAGAATTCAAAATATATCAAATTGAAATCACTGAAAACTTACATATATGATATCGAATGGTTCCGTAAGAGGGATGGAAACTTATCGGACCCGAATCACATGGTTCTCAATTTTAGAAACTAGAACCATCTAATGAACTTTGTTCCATTCTTCTTGAGTTCGGGGACTTCGACTAAAAATGCTCACCTACTCTATTTCCATTGTTGGACAAATTGTTGTCAAACAAGCTATCGGACGACGATGTAACTCAGTATATTTTCTCAATCGACATCAACCAAATGACCGAATGAAAAATCGACACCTCAATGAAGACAACCCTACCTCAAAATCAAGTAGACCATTGAAAGCAACCTAATTTATTTAGTCCTGCTCAGGGTCCATTTCTTTTCTTCTTGGATGGCTTATAATCATCGACCCATATAGTGATACCTAGCCTAGTTGCTTACTTATATTGGACTTGGCTCACTACTATCGCCTAACGTTTGTTATACATATGCTGCCCTCTTTACTTAGTTTTGACTGTGTGTTGGCTGAGCTTCTTCTCCCTTCGGAAACCGGCTACCTTCTTTATGATCTCGCACCTCCCATTTTATCTCCTCTTCTACCTTTGTGGTTGCCTTTGTGGCTGTGTTTGCATCCCTTTATGTGTGTCCTTTGTGGGCAAACCATAGCAACCGAATAGAGGAATTGGTTTGAGGATTTTTAGGTCGATTGCTTTGTTGAGGTTGTCGAATGAAGGTTAAAAATTGGGCCCGGAGCCAAATCTTCCGCTACATCTATCCATATTAATAATGTACTAGGGATATATATATACATATACACACACTTGATCTAGGCTATAATCAAATTACCTCGTCTTGACAATTGATCAATCTTCATCATTATGCCCCACTCTTTATAGCGCTTAATGATGATGCAGAAATGCTTAATACGAGTTCACCCCCGCTCCATTGACATCAAGAATATAGAGCATTACAACTTCTGAGAAATTGTCAATTATTCTCAATTAGACATCATAATATTTTATTATTCTCAATTATTTGAGAAATTGTTGAGTAGGTTTTAGTCGGTGCTCATGTGCTGTAGTCGTGAAAGAGATGTTACAAATCAAGAACCACCACATAACAATGGTCTTATATTAAGCATATGTATAAAATATTTTATATACCTCGTAAATTTTATTTTTTTAAATTCATTTTTTTTTTCAAATTTATTATTAACTATACATTCTTTCAATAAAATAATTTTATACGTAGATTCATAATTTTCTCTACTGTTTAACCTCGCATTCTTCAAAATCACTTTTTATGAAATTCATTTTCCATCAAACAAAACTTAATCATATTTACTCACTTGTCTTATAATTTTTGGTGTGCACATTAAATCGTAATTTCGAGTCACACGTTTTGTCCTAATCATCAAAATCAAAATCCGAATTAGAATTAGAAGAAACCAGTTAGGGTGGCATACTCTTATTGGTTTTAGTAAAAGCGGAACCCATTTGCATGGTTAGGAGGAATATTTAGTTGCTGTGAGTCTCTTCTAGTCTTAATTTTATATTCATTGGGGGAGGCGCCGCCATGGCGGCCACGACGGTGACATGTTAGATAATTGAAGAAAAAGAAGGACGACTTATTAGAGGAATTTTTGAGTTTTGTCCATGATATAAGAATTATTAATTAAAGAATAATTATCTTCTCAAGTTGAGGTAGCCCCGTCCCGCCCGAATGGGGCAAAAAAACCCTCCTTGAACGCCCCGTCGCGGGGGACGGGGCACCGCGGGCGTCCCCGAATGGGGGCAAAAAAACCCTTCTCGAACGCCCCGTTGCGGGGCACGGGGCACGGCGGGGCGAGGACGCCCCGTCGAACTCGCCCCGTGAAGGAATAATAAAAAAGATTAAAAATAATTTTTTTCTAAACAATTCACCTGTTAAAATTTCATTTTGAATTTCTATTTTATTTTCTAATAATAACATAACTTGAAAGTTTGAAAATGTAAAAAATATATATTTATATAAATTAAAAAATTAAACGGGGCAAAAAGTTGCCCTGCCTCGCGCCCGCCCCATTGCTATCACTAAGTTGAGGAGTATAGATTTTACTTTGACCATAACATAGTTAGTTCCCATTTAATTCTCATTCTTATAAGAATGAGAATGAAAAGTATAGTTGTTACGGGACTCATACAAAAAATTGGAAGTCAAATATGGTGGTTTGATGTGATTAATAACGATCATATTTTTTATTTTTTGGCCAAAAAATGGAAAACAAACGTGGCCTTAATTTTCTGTGACTTTTCAATTTAGTTCATGCTAATATCTTAAGAGCACGGCGAAAAATAAATTATTTTTATATCAACATCATTTGTGTACCACTCCTCCTGTCTAATATGTGGAAAAAAAAAATTAATTCACGTAAAATGTTGCGTCCACAAATTGGAGATATTTTGCCATTTTTGTAGCTGTAAATCGTTTTTATTTTTAATATTATTTTGATTATTATAGATTGATAAATAAATAAAATAATACATACTTTGAAATTTTATACGAATATCATATATATTTTTAAAGTTTTCAACATAAATATAATTTTCAAAATTATAAATATTCCATTTATTTTTTCTTTCGGAAAAAAAAAAGAATGATATTTTCAATTTGGGAATAAGATCGGCGATATTTTGTAGTATTTTGCGGGTTTAAATTCTTCATTCAAAACAATTTGTCACTATTGAGTTGTTTGGACATTGGCTTGAGATATTATGGTTTTGCTTTACATATAATTAGTATCTGGTCGGAAACGATTTTCGAATTAAACATGAATTTGAAGATAGATCGATAATTTATCCTTCTATGGCCTAACGAGTCATCCGAAAGATTTCACTTATTAATATGGTTATAGAATTCCAAATATTTACAAAAGTGACCACATTAGATTTCTTAATTTCACCAACTTGTGCAAAGTCTTCGTCTCCTCAAAATCTTTAGTATTAAAAAAAAAAAATTTACATTGCTTAAATATCGAAACAATAGGTAACATATGAGAATTTGATCTAACCATTTCAACAGAGTTAACTCCGTAAAGTTAAACTTCAAGATTCATTCAATATAGTACACAACTCATTTATTCTTTCCAACTATTCGATCTGTGAATTTCAAAATTAGTATCTCAAACAAGTTATCATTTTAAGAGAATGTATGAAGAATAATATATCATGCCGATAAATAATAACTAAATTATAAAATTTTTGATTAATTTTAACGAGATTAAAATGAAATACTAATAATCAACCTTGGCCATGGCATTATTCCTCGTGAAATGAATTGTCTATTTCTATTGAAAAATAGAAGATTTTGTCAATGATTGGGTTGGGAATACTCACTAAAATAAATTTTGTAACAATACTATCTGAACGTGTGCTGCACCAAATACAATTAAACAAGTGTTCTGATTGCCCTCGGAGCATATCCCAATGATGTAAAAGATAAGGGTGAAGTATACTCAACCTTGCTGACAATCACAGTGTGAGGGTTCGATTCCTGAAACATGGATTTAGACTCTTTATGGGTATCAATGTACAAGAAGCTCTTGTTTCTTGGCCTGCTGTGGCATATTTCAGAATTAATCTCTCTCACGATACTCTAGGAACGGAGCGGTGGGAGGCCCTTAAGGTTGGAGTTCAACCTTTAAACATGTGTTATGATTCCACATGCCTTTTCTAGTGTGCCACTACACCAATATGGCAAAGCTCACTTATAAGTCAAAAAGCATGTTTTCAATTGACTTTTTTTTTTTTTTTTTTTTAAATAAGAACATGTTTGAAATTCCGCAAGTTACTTATTTAAATTTAAAGATAATAATGATTCAAATGAAAAAAGAAAAAAAAAGGTTATCTAAATCTAAATATAACTTTATTTTTAAGGTTAGTGAATCGAATTTATTTTTAAAATTACTTACTTTTTATGTAGATTTTTTAAGAATATATTTTATGAAGAATAATTTTTTTGATAATATGTGTTAAACAGGAAGAAAAAGTTATGAGTTCACATTCAAAATTATTTTATAATGACGTATAGTTGAAAAAAGTTTAAGAAAAAAATAAATTGTAAATGATCTATACCAAACATGTACTGAGCAAAGAAGGCATGCTTTTATATTTACTGCATGTATGGATGTAATTTTTTAAAAATTATTTTTCTCCATACTCATTTTTCAATCATATATCTTTAAAAAAAAAATTTATTTTATATTTCCATATTTTTTTTCAACTTTTAAACCACAAAAAATATTTTTCAAGATTCAACATTACACAAATACTTGTTCAAACAAGATTTTTGATTTAACTATTTGATTATTAATAAAGATAAGAAATTCCTGAGAAATCTTACAAATTATTATAATATCACGTTGTTCAACTAATATTGTGCAATTACATTAACTCAACATACTAAATATATCTCAAGGCTTCCTCAAATGCAAGTAAGTCTATTTAATTCATGATTATAAATTATTTATAAAGAATCAATTTATCTTTTATTCATGCATTTGAAAAGGACGTACAAATACTATTACTTATTTACAACTCTTTTAAATCTAGAGAAGTAGGCAATATAAACTTACACGAACCGAACCAAAGGTCTACTAGTTCGAATAGCTAATCTCCAATTCAACAACAAATCCGAAATGTGTTAAGAACTTCACATTCTAGATTTAGATAAGTTCAATTAAACTTATAAACTTATTTTGACATTAACATAAACTTTTTTTTTTTGTTTAAAATAAATAATTTTGTTGCTTATAAATCTGTTTGAGATTATTGCTGTCATCAAAGAAAGAGGAAATACTAGCCATGAAAAACAATCTCTCTCTCTCTCTATATATTGCTTTCTTAAACAAATAAAATAAGTGAGAAGTTACAAACAAAGGAATTTACCACTCTCCCCCTTCAATTCCATCCGCCTCATCTTTCACTGTAGATTTCCATGTGTCCGTCTGCTAATAATTCACAATATATCTCCATTTATACGTGTATATATCATTTCCCGAGCTAGAACATTTACCTTTTCTTTGAATTCTCTGGAATTGAATTTCTCTTCAAACATTAATTAATTCTTTTTGCCCGGGCTATAATGATCAATTCTCGAGCTAAAAGACCCCTCTCTTTTTTCTTTTTCTTTTTTTTTTGTGAAAATAGCCAATGTTTTCTAAATAAAGGTAATCTTGAAGGGTATTGGGCAACTGAGTAGGTGAGAATTCTTGCGATTGGGTAATAAAATCTCTATTTTTTGGTCCAGAAATAGCATTTATCTGAGTTTTTAGACAAAAGGGTCTCTAAATCCAATAATCTATATTTTTTTGCATGAAGATGATCTTTATGGGTTTTGTCAACTGGGTCTCTGAGAATTTTAGCTGATAAGAAAAAGGAAAAGAAATAAATAAATAATGTCACCGGTTCCAATAGAGACTACAATGGCCGAAACGACGTCATGTTCTGAAGGTTCAAATCGTTTTGGAGGTCTGAGAGGGGTGCAGTGGCGCATGGATTTAGGGGTTTTACCACCTTCTTCTTCATCTATTGAAGATCTTCGCCGACAGACGGCCAATTCTCGAAGAAGGTTAATATCTTAACTCTTTTGATTATTTTCTATTTGTTCAGGATTCATTTATTTCTAATTTAGTGACTTAATTTGTGATGATGCTCTTTGACAGATGTTTGGGAAGTTTCTATGTTAATTTTATTGGCATGTGCTTGTCTAGTTGTCTTTTCATATATTTGCGCACTTTCTGGAGCATTATAATTGAGTTAATAATCCAAGGATTTTTGGAGTCATTGTAGTTGTTTCTTTATCATCAAATCGTGGTTTATTAAAGTTTGTTTAGTTATTTGCATTTGGAATTTTTTAGCATTGAAAATGTCAATCTTATATTTGTTTCTCGATTAGTGGATTGTTCCCAAAAGTTTTTTCTTGCTTACAACCAACCTCATTTTACTTTGTTTCCTGTGTTACACGTTCTTAAATCGACAAAGCTCCTAGTTTTCTAGTATGATTCATTTGCCGTTTGAATGTTGCTATTGAAGTTACATTACATGGTATAATTTAACTAAAGTAACATGAACTAGTCAAAGCTTATCCTGCAAAACCTCAATTGTAGGATCGTCTCCTTCTAATATTTCAAGGATTAGGGAAGTCAATAGTTGTAGGAGCATTGTGCAAGTGGTTATTAAGTATTCATTCGTATTCCAGTTTTAGGTAAAGAGTTTCTTTTTGATGATTTAATTCATGATTGTTATAGGTATGCTGCTTTGAGGCGACAGCTTCTAGTTGATCCTCATGTTCCCAAGGATGGAAGTAATTCTCCAGATCTTGTCATGGACAATCCACTGTCACAAAATCCAGGTAGATTTTCTGTATTAAGCTTACATTAGCCGCTACGACTTTTTAATTCCCTCTAGCTCAGTAAATTTTCTTAAAGTGCCTGTATTTCTAAAACAATTGTTTTCTGCCTTTTTCTTGATTAAGATTACTTTTCTCAGCCATGTAAGTAGCTTATATTTGAGTTACCATACTTGTCCAGAACCTGTATTAGTGATTATTAAGTTCACACACTCATACGGCTTCTTTTTTTTTTTTTTTTTAAGTAATCCATGCTGTCGCTATTTATCTTGCAGATAGCATGTGGGGTCGTTTCTTCAAAAATGCTGAACTGGAGAGAATGTTGGACCAAGATTTGACACGTTTATATCCTGAACCGGGTAGTTATTTCCAGAAACCTGGATGCCAAGGCATTTTAAGGCGAGTTTTACTACTTTGGTGCCTTAGACATCCAGAATATGGGTACAGAGAAGGCAGGTTTTCTTTGTACTTTGTATTCTATTTTTAGCTTTATCACGATTCATCAGTCATAGTGGAATAAAAAGTGGCTGCCTCTTGTGTGGACTAGTAAGGAGAGATGTTTAGGCTGAAAATTTGAAATTATTCTTTGATAGATTATTGGGTGATCTGAATTTGAAGAAGACTTTAGTCAAATTAGAGCTTTGTGATTAATTGGTTCTTTGATGCTACCAGATGTGATATATCTTTTGAAGACAGATATTATCACAGTGAAATTGATTGTTTACAGTCAAATTGATTGTCTTCGAAAGATATATCTCATTAATTGCATAGATTGGATGTGAAAGAATATAAAAGTCGGACTCTTTCTATCCAGTTATTATCACAGTCAAATTGACTGTTTACTGCCGGAATCATCTCTTCATTCGATCTCTCCATGCTTTCGTTTGTAGGGATGCATGAACTCTTGGCCCCACTGTTGTATGTTCTACATGTTGATGTTGAGCGTCTTTCAGAAGTGAGAAAACTTTATGAAGACCACTTCATTGACAAATTTGACAGTTTCTCATTTCATGAAAATGACTCGACATATAAGTTTGATTTTAAGAAATTCTCGGATTCTGCCAAAGATGGGAATGGATTGGGAAAGGGTTCTGTGAAGTTTAGCAGTCTCGGTGAACTTGATCCCCAGATACAAGCAATTGTTTTACTTAGTGATGCCTATGGGGCAGAAGGTGAACTTGGTATTGTTATATCAAAGAAATTTATGGAACATGATGCGTATTCTATGTTCGATGCTTTGATGAGTGGGGCAGGTGGGGCCATTGCCATGGCAGAATTTTTCTCTCCATCTCCGTTCAGGAATTCACATGTTGGGTTCCCCCCTGTAATTGAAGCTTCTGCCGCACTCTATCATTTGCTTTCCATTGTTGATTCATCTCTTCATGGCCACCTTGTTGAACTAGGAGTTGAACCGCAGTATTTTGCACTTCGCTGGCTACGGGTCCTATTTGGGCGTGAATTTTCACTTGATGACCTTTTAATTATTTGGGACAAAATTTTTTCGTATGATAATACCAAAGTCAACAAACCTGCCGATAATGTTTCCGATTCCACATTTGCAGCCCTCAGTTCTCATAGAGGGGCATTCATTTCTGCTTTTGCAGTTTCAATTATACTTCATTTGAGATCTCAAGTGCTTGCAACAGAGAATGCTACTGCCTGTCTTCAAAGATTGTTGAATTTTCCCGATGATATAGATCTTGTTAAGCTGCTAGTGAAGGCAAAGTCCTTGCAGGCTCTGGCGATAGATGCAAACAACTCAACTTCCCCAATGATTTATCCTGGGTTTTATTACAGAAGTAAGTCAGTTAGTACTAGGGGCCATAGCCTTTCGTTAGATTTAACTTCTCCAAGAACTCCCCCAAATGTGGTCCCCGATAGCTACTGGGAAGAGAAGTGGAGAGATTTGCACAAGGAAGGAGAGCACGAGGAAGGTGTTGTCGAAAAACTTCATAAGAGCAGAAAAGGTTGGTCAGAGAGAGTAAGATTGCGACTGTCTAGAACAGAATCAGACCAATCTTCATCTAAGGTTGGTAAAATACAGAAAGACCAAAAGTCATCTGTTAGAAGAACTTTGTTGAAAGATCTGGCCAGTCAGCTCAGATCAGATGAAGACACAGAAAAGACGGTGTGTGATGGAGATATAGGCCATCAGGATCCAGTTGAGGTCAACGGGCAAGAAATTACTGATAAGAATTTCGGTAGCATGTCCGAGCCAAGATATTTGAGTGGAAATGCAGAGAGTGAAGAGAATTCTCCAAATTTCTCAGATTCTTCTAGTCCTATTAATGGGTCTAATTGTCATCAGAACGACTCGGGCAAAAGTAGCATAGCGTCAAATTTATCCATTGATGAAAATGATCCCAGTCCATGTGGGACTACCCCAGAATGCTCCACTCTTCCCATCTCAGATTCACCTGATGAACTGTCTTTAAAATGTGCACAGAATGACAATTCTTTAGGTAAATCAACCATGGGCATGAAGGAGCGAAAGTTTCTATCAGGGAAATTTCAATGGTTATGGAAGTTCGGACGGAATGCGAGTGAGGGAACATCTGAAAAGGTAGGTGTTTCTGAAGATGCAAAAGCTTGCATCGGAGGAAGTGTTCAGAACATTGTAGTTGGCTCTTCGACAGCCGATGGATGTGATAGCTCTTCGAGAATCAGCGAAGAGACAGTTGAGCAAAACTTGATGGGTAGCTTCAGAAATCTTGGGCAATCCATGCTTCAAAACATCCAGGTACCAGTCAGTTAATTATGTAACTGTCACTAGAATGTTCTTAATTAGCCTCATAAGGATTGCTATTTTGGAAACTCTTCATATTACAATATTAAGAAGCAATCGCTTTCTTTCGACAAAAGCTGCTATGTTCCTTGAAAAACTTGATTCAATTTGTAGTGTTATAGACGTATACAAGCTTAATAAAAGAAGTCCACCAAGAAGCATTTTCATAAAAGGAAAATATAATGGGAAATGCTTGTTTCAGATTGATTGTTCCCTGAGCAGAAGTGCACGTGATAATTCGTTTGAATGTGCAGGTTATCGAGGCTGTTTTTCAGCTGGATCGAGGTCACACAGTACCCTTGGAGAACAGCTCGAAAAATGGTTTTGTTGGGCAAGGACAATTTACAGCCTTGGCAGCCCTTGAAGAGCTTAGAAAAATCAGCAATCTTTTATCAGAGATGTGATGAGGAAGTATTTGTTTTAGTTATTTTGTAGTTATTTCTATCTCGAGTGGCAGAATCAATGGTCTTCCTTCGGCTTTGATATCCTTTTTCTTTTCCCTTATTTGTTCCAATTCTCCCTCCTCTCTCTCTCTCTCTCTCTCTCTCATGTAGACAGACTTGTAAATATAATCATTACCTATAATTATTCTTATCCATAATAAAGTCATCTCCATCATTTGTAAGTAGGGGTCATAAGGATGCAAATGTTGGTAATTGCAATGCCAAAATTATTCTTCAGATGCAATGTCCTTAGGCGCTCAAATTGTAGTAACTTGTAAGCAACAAAGTGATCTCTCTGCTGCAATTTGAAATTCTGTACTTTCAACCTTCTTTCTTAATACCGAAGAGGCCACCTTAGTTACATGCCATAAAAGAAATTTACAGGATAAAATAGACGATGAAACTTTTCTCGTTTTATAGCATACAAACATCTTATGACGCCCATGATAGTGACCTTATGCATTGTTTCAGTTCAACATTCTCGTGTCGAACTGAAGTAGAACATGAATAGTTGGTGAAGGATATAAGCTTAATGTAAAGAACATGAGCACTTAGTGAAGGATATAAGCTTAATGTAATAAGGATCCGTTCAACATGACCATTCTGAATAAAGCTTTTATAGTACCTTTTCAAAGATAGTTTATTATCTAAAAAAAAAAATTCCCCTGATGACCGTTCGGTTGTGAACAAAGAAGGATCAAAAAAGTGCTTTTGATTATTTCTTGTACATATTACATAATTATTTAATTAAAAATTATTTCTTTATTAAATTCTCATGGCACAATTTTTAAGTAAAATCACATCATATTATTTATTGTTAAGACGGGAATAAGTAAAATACCATAAAAAAAAAAAGTGAAATACAAGCTTTTCAAAAAAGATTGTTAATAAGCACTTCTTTAACCGTAGCCAAACAAATGCATTTTTATATAGAAGTACTTTTGGGCTCCCAATAAGCCCTCCAATACACACTAAATATAACAAGTTTTCTTTAAACAATTTGATGCGCTATTTTAAAGAGTTAATCTTTCAAATTATGTTTCAAAAAACTCTTTAAATAAATAGTGAGTTTGGCTCTTCAAATTTTAACATCCATAATTTAACTAACTGTATTTTATAAATATACTAAAACAACGAGATATGCTTGATGTATATTCATGTGAGGGGGCTGTACACTTGTACAACACTATTTTGCTGTACAAGTGGAATAACCCCTAAAACAACATTATTGAAACACTTGAAGAAAAGATAGAGCTTGCTGACCTTACTCAACAAATTTTAACTGATCCACTTGAAATGTAAGTTACCCGAGCACTAGGAGAAGGCAAGATTGTTGCCCTAAAAGGTGGTACACCAATGAATTGCATTTCAATGTTCACGTTAAATTTTTAAATTATGCGTGAGAAGACAAAAGAAGAGTGTTTGTGTTGGATTTTTGAGAAGTTGCTTATCTCATATAGAGAAATACAGTAGAGATAAGTGAAGAATCGTCATATTTTTCGATTAGGCTATCTTTGGTTTTGCTATGGGCCTTTCCTCTTATGGGCATATCTTTGTAGTTGGGTGAATGGATTGATATATTCCGCTTTACCAAAGACTCCCTAAAGGACAGTAAATCATATATATATATATATATATATAATATCTTTGTAGTTGGGTGAATGGATTGATATATTCCGCTTTACCAAAGACTCCCTAAAGGACAGTAAATCATATATATATATATATAATATCTTTGTAGTTGGGTGAATGGATTGATATATTCCGCTTTACCAAAGACTCCCTAAAGGACAGTAAATCATATATATATATATATAATATCTTTGTAGTTGGGTGAATGGATTGATATATTCCGCTTTACCAAAGACTCCCTAAAGGACAGTAAATCATATATATATATATATAAATATAATATCTTTGTAGTTGGGTGAATGGATTGATATATTCCGCTTTACCAAAGACTCCCTAAAGGACAGTAAATCATATATATATATGATCCTAAAAGTTGAGAGAAACTTTAATGGGACGGTCGCACCATCACGTAGGCGATCGCCCAATGTTGAAGCGCCACCTCGACAGGTGGCCCACATACCTCAAGGGCGTGTGGTGGGCCACCTGTTGAGATGGCGCACCCTAATATGGCGGTTATACTACCACGCAGTGCAATCGTCCTACTGAAGTTTCTCTCCGTTAAGCGGGTTACCAATGCAAAACCTCAAGTACGATTGTCAAATGGCAAGTGTGCCAGCGGATGAGGTAACGTACCTTAGGCAATACTCGAGGTCCTCAAGGTACAAAGCGTCTATTATAGCCTCCATTCGGCCCCCTTTCTTTCAATTTTTAATGTATGGAACAGATTCCTTTTTTTTTTTAATATTACGAATGTGTGATTGAAAAAGTTGGAAAATTTTCCAATTTACGTGTAAAATTATATCATGAAAAACTGTGGTTTAAAATAAGAGTAAGAATAACTGAATAAAACATTGAAAGAGAAAGGAAAGAACAACTGAATAAAACATTGAAAGAGAAAGTAAGCCAAACGGGAGTATAATCTATAACTGGAGTGATGTTAAACAGTAGCGAATCTACGAATTCAAGTGAAACTACGACGAATCCAAGTGCAAAAGCACATCAATGTCGGGGGCCTTTCCTCTTATGGGCATATCTTTGTAGTTGGGTGAATGGATTGATATATTCCGCTTTACCAAAGACTCCCTAAAGGACAGTAAATCATATATATATATATATATATATAATATCTTTGTAGTTGGGTGAATGGATTGATATATTCCGCTTTACCAAAGACTCCCTAAAGGACAGTAAATCATATATATATATATATATATATAATATCTTTGTAGTTGGGTGAATGGATTGATATATTCCGCTTTACCAAAGACTCCCTAAAGGACAGTAAATCATATATATATATATATATATATAATATCTTTGTAGTTGGGTGAATGGATTGATATATTCCGCTTCACCAAAGACCCCCTAAAGGACAGTAATTCATATATATATATATATGATCCTATAAGTTGAGAGAAACTTCAATGGGACGGTCGCACCATCACGTAGGCGATCGCCCAATGTCGAGGCACCCACATACATCGAGGGCGTGTGGTGGGCCACCTGTCGAGATGGCGCACCCTAATATGGTGGTTATACTGCCACGTAGTGCGACCGTCCCATTGAAATTTCTTTCCTTTAAGTGGGTTACCAATGTAAAACCTCAAGTATGATTGTCAAATGGCAAGCGTGCCAGCGAATGAGGTAATGTACCTTAGGCAATACTTGAGGTCCTCAAGGTACAAAGTGTCTATTATAGCCCCCATTCGACCCCCTTTCTTTCAATTTTTAATGTATGGAACAGATTCCTTTTTTTTTTTAATATTACGAATGTGTGATTGAAAAAGTTGGAAAATTTTCCAATTTACGTGTAAAATTATATCATGAAAAACTGTGGTTTAAAATAAGAGTAAGAATAACTGAATAAAACATTGAAAGAGAAAGGAAAGAACAACTGAATAAAACATTGAAAGAGAAAGTAAGCCAAACGGGAGTATAATCTATAACTGGAGTGATGTTAAACAGTAGCGAATCTACGAATTCAAGTGAAACTACGACGAATCCAAGTGCAAAAGCACATCAATGTCGGGTTCCTTCGCAGATGATTTCACACCATCTCCTAGTATCTTTTTTTCTTCCATGTGAACCTAATGAATTTCTTGAGAGCACGCCATTGACAAATGCTTGCTTTCATTTCAAGCTTTTACATTGAAAACTCGTAATTCAACTAAACCGGCTGTAGCCACTTTACCTTAACAATTAAGTTATGCATAATTAGATAAATAATATTAACATACAGCCGAGCTCGTCACAACACATTTTGACCTCTCTCTATTGGCAAATGCCTTACGTTTTACCTCTCAAAGAATTAAAAAGCACAATGTTCTCATTTTTCGGCAGGCGCTACAAAATAAAGTCCCAACAAGAAGTATACCACTGAGCCATCATTCAACCCTAAGCCAAAAACACAACCGTCGATCAACCGGTTAACAGTCAGTTTCAATTTTGAAAAGAAGATAATATAATTCACCATCACGTCTAAGAAAATAAGCATTTAAATTAACCATTGGGCTTATTTATTATTCCAAACCATACAAAAGAAACTACACCGGCCAACTCAAAACAACATTTCAATAAGATTACATATTTCTGCAGTCAGGGGGAATGACGACACCGGCCTGTACAAGCATTTCATCTGCTTGCTCTCTTCCTTTCATAATAATCTTCAACTCTTACCTTCTGCATGCTCTAGATATCTACAAGGGTGAACAAGCCTGGAAAACAAGGTTGCATTTACAAAAAAGAATTCTCTGCCAGGTAATTCACATAATTCTCCGAGTCACACGCCCATTCATGCAAATATACTAATAGTAATTTTTAGTGTAAAGAACAACACAGTTATGAACAATAAAACTTTTAGGGCGATAGTGCTGCAGGATATTTCCTTATTCACACACGTCCTAAAAAATAAAGTACATGCACTGCGCCAATCATTTGTTTCACAACTATAAAGTAGGGATTTTTTAGTGCAAAGAAGAACACACTGTTATGAGCGATAATATGAACTGTATCAGGTGACAATGCCACATAACATTTCCTTATCCCGCTCATGCTGAAAAATGGATTGACAAAAATTATTTGATAATGCTGTAACGGGATATAAGTGTGGCTAAGGTAAATAACTCACCCGAGCAACCAGATTTTCACACAGCATACTCTTCATCCTTCCTCCTCCTCAGAGTTAGATGCATTATGTGCGTTGTTGGCTTCATTATGAATTTTCACCTCCACTTCCATTAATGGAATTGGATGTATGGGTGAAGTACCTACAGTATGCATATACTAAATCAGTATGCACAAAAACCATCAGTGGTCAACAATACTCTTAAATGCGTTTTCACGAAAATTTTCAACTTCCCACACTTGCGTTCAATTTAGAAACCATGATATATAGCTGTTGAAAATATGACACACAAACCCAGTTTCTAGCATTATCCGAACAAGATCCCATTTCAGCCCAATTATTGATATTATTCCTTCAAATAGCACCACTGTACTTCTTCCACATTTTAGAGAAAACAGTAACATGAGCATCATTAAGCTTCAATCATTATTGAAGAATTTTACGATGGCATTAAATTGACAGTTTCCACAAGCTAAAAGAATAAACAAGAGTGATTCCAATTGTGGCTGAAAATGTACCAAATCAAAGATATAGGATACATATATAGAAACCATGATATATAGCTGTTGAAAATATGACACACAAACCCAGTTTCTAGCATTATCCGAACAAGATCCCATTTCAGCCCAATTATTGATATTATTCCTTCAAATAGCACCACTGTACTTCTTCCACATTTTAGAGAAAACAGTAACATGAGCATCATTAAGCTTCAATCATTATTGAAGAATTTTACGATGGCATTAAATTGACAGTTTCCACAAGCTAAAAGAATAAACAAGAGTGATTCCAATTGTGGCTGAAAATGTACCAAATCAAAGATATAGGATACATATAAGGGCAAATTTCCTCTCATCTGCAGCTAAGCATTGCATAGCAAAATGCTTAATTTGACAACTGACGTAGAAAATCTGAATATCCCAATTGCAGCACTTCTCATTCTTAAGAGGTGAAATCCCATGATTATCAAAAACGAATCAGTCTTCATCCAATATATAAAAATCCCAACGTCCATTCAATGGAAAGCCACGAAAAGTTATTTATTCACAACAATTTTATCTTTACCCAAAACAAGTATGGAAATCTGAACTTCTTTAACCACTATCAAGGTGGGGCTTCGGATAAATTCTCACATTCAATTCTCATCTTTCACACTAGATCTTAAAATACAAAGAAATCAAAGTTACACAGATTCTCTAATTACTTCATTTATTTTCAAATTCATTTAATAATCATCAGTCCAATCAAAAAGACACCGCCAAATCATCAAATCTACCTCCGAAAAAGGGAAAAAAAATAATAATAAGCAAACATATTTCATTACCTTCAAGGAAAAAAGTAGAAGAGGGCCATCCACGTGCAGAGGTAAACGACATCGTTTCATCCTCCGTCAAAAGATCAAGTTGCGGGCGAATCTTCCCCGTTCCCACCCCAGAAGACGTCAATTTTCCAATCACCTCAATCATACCATGTGGATGTCTCATAGTACTACTCCGAGGCGGGACCCAGTAGGAATACCCAGGTAAAAAGGGGAGCCAGTCGGGTGCTGCACGGCGCACGATGATACTCTGGATAGCCTCCTCGAGTTTCTTAATCCCTACAGTGAGTACCTCCTCGGAAGAATCGGGATGGGAAGAAGTGGATGACGAATCGACCTCAAGTTCGATTAGCTGGGCCTGGCGGGTCTTGTTGGAGCGGTGGCGGTTGTGGGTGATTAGGGCCCCAGGGGTGAGAGATGCTGGGTGGAGAGAGGACCGTGGGAGGGTTTGAGAGAGTATTCTAGACATGGCCATCAGATATACAGAGAGAAATGAAAGAGCTGTAGAGAGAGAAAGTGAGATGAGATTGGGTATGTTCTACTAGAACATGGATAAACAGTCAGTCGGAGTTTGGGCTGGGTCAATGTGGAGTTGTCAAAACCATGGGCGGTGTCAACACCCGAATAATCGGGTCGGATTCAATTTTGAGAAAATTACACCATCAGTCTCCAAACTTTTCGACCGTATTAATTAATTCTCTCTCATACACTTTTTTTTTTTTTTTAATCAAAAGTTTTCTTAAAACTCTTTCCAAAATCATTTAAGACGCCAAATTAAACTCATACAATTGTTTTTTAGAAATATTATACTTTTTTTAGCACCTAAAAGGTAAGATAGGGGATATTCCATGTACCATACTATTTTGTCACATAAAATGATAAGATTTGCGACCAAGGGGTGGTCAGAGAAAGATAAGAACTCATAAAATTAGAGTTAGAAAAAAACCCTCGAAATGGTGATTATGCAAAAGGAGCTATGAGTTTGCAAAATGTGAAGAGTGATTATCCCTGTTGATGGCGGATGTGCCAAGAGAACACTACTGAATTTTGAAGTCTCATAGTTACATTTTACATAAAATCAACACGATTCAGTAAGTCATTCCATATTTTTTGGATTAGCTACCCTAAGCTTCATATTGTACTAAGCCATAAGGCAACTACTTTCCAATTATGTGCAGTTAGTCAAGTATACCTTGCCAAACATGTCGAAATTAATCAACAAGGTAGTAATATTCATTTTATTTTGAGATACATGTTCAAAAGAAATTATTGAAAATTAGTTAGATAGACGCCATTGATTATGCTACAATCACGACCCGTAGAAACGCTAGTGAACTCTACAAAAACTTACAATCTCAAGATTTTGAATCATGGATCACGCAGCTCTTAATAATTAACAAGTAGAAGATTTGGCACAAATCTAATCGTACCTTGATTCTCAAGTCCTATTTATTCAAGTATGATATGTATAATGTTGTGCATAAAATCACAATCGATCAGTTACACGAAATATTAATGCAACCCTTACGATTAATTAGTAGAACGTTTGGCACGAAGCTTGTCATAACTTGGTCCCCTTAGTCTTATTTATTCAATGATGGTGTGCGCAAAACTCACAATCTATGAGTTACATGGGATATTGCTTTATAGATTAATGCAGCTCTTACGATTAACAAGTTTAGCACGAATGGTATAGTACCTTGGCTACCAAGTCTCATTCATTCAAGGATGATATGATATGATATGTCGTGGGCACGTGCATAATAGCTCTCGTATGCGTTCCTTTATGTCGATAGTGACATAGTGTGTTCCTTTTTTAACTTGACAGAGCGCAAATAGCTTAGCACAGAAACCTCTGTTTTCAATTTTCATCTTGTTTTAAAGAAACCAACTTGTGTACTGTCTTTATCAAAGCCATGGAGTTACACCAGTTCAGAAGCTAATATGGACAGGAAGGATGTCAAAATGTTGGTTCAACAATGGTGGGATATTGGAGACACTCGATTTCAAATCCAAAGATTCAGTTCCGCAGGCCAGAACACGAAAAGCTCAATTCACAACCGAGGAATCCATAACACCCATAGCCGCTTTCAGAGCATGCAATATCTGAACTGCAGTTGACGAGAGAGCAAGAAAAGGGAAGTTGATAATCAGCACTTTGCATAGAAACTATAGGTTAAAGAAAATAAAAGAGAATTTGTATAACACCATTAATGCATGTTAAACACTAATGAACATGTTTGTCCATTAAAATTTTTTTGATATTGAATTCCCATAAAGCATATCATCAAGGTTTTTAATGTCTAGAATACAAAACATTTAAGGGCAATATCCCTATTTTCGCCAATTTCATCTTCCTGCTTTAGTCCCATAATCATTCAGTAGGGATTTCTACTTTACTATCAACCAAACTGCCACAGAAATTAGCCAAAAAGTGCTCCAGATTTTCACCAAAACTTTAAAGTTGATGTAATACAAAAACTTGAAATAGTTACATGAGCTAAAAGGAGCCAAAAGCTTGAGCTAGTGGCGAGGGTCAAAATGGGACACAAGGCAAGATTATAAAGCCTCACAAGTCACTAGCTTAATCATTTCCACTTATATTTGCAATTCAATGTTTTACCTTTTCTTTTTTGCCAGGGAGTTGCAATCAACCAACTGTAGCAGTGATCTTATTTCTAAGGTTTAAAACATATGAGTAGGGTCTCCATAATTATGTATTTTTCTCATTGAAAGTAAGAGTGCTTGTGAATCAATACTCTTTCAACTATCCAATTTACGCCTTTTTGCAGCCAGCCGGGGTCTCAACTGCACAGAATGTCAAAATGTAAGTTAAGTTTCCATCATAAAAGAGTATATAATAAGCATATTAACCACGCAATCTAAATGGGATGAGCAGTTCCTAACAAAGTCAAATAAAATGTACAGTGAAGGGACAAAGTGGCATCTAGGAATATTATTCAAGGGACCTTTGATTTGATTTACTATAAGCTTGTTCCAACCCAACTGAGTATAGCAGTAACTAGATTCTTTCAAATAGTTTCCTATTATTGAGAAAAATTTGTCACTAGCTAATACAAAAAAATTATTCTACACTTAATTGGGGAAATGTAACCACAAAAGATTAGATGTATTGGTTTCACACCTGTGTAATTCACAGTATAAGAAATTGAGAATTTTCTGTATTGCACAGATTCTGATTCAATTTACAGATTGGAAAAATAACATAGAAATTTCAATGAATTAAAAACTAGATTTTTCATTAGCAAATAAAAAATGTGAATGTCATTTATATCCAAAACATCAATAGCAAATACAAGCAAATATGTTTATGTCGGTAACATATATGTAGATACAACTTCAAATTCAAAAGAATGTAATAACCATTGGTCATGTAAGCGTAAAGATTAATTGCAGAAGACTGTCGCACCGGGAGCAATTTCGTCATTTTTCGCGACGGGGTCGGAATCGGCTAAAATTTGACATTATTTTGGAATACTTCAACTTAGTCTTGGGGAAGTGAACACTTCGTTGTCACCCTGGTTTCTTTGTACAATCAAATTGCAAGAGGAATTATTTCCAAGTTTGAGTGCCAAAGGTTCTTGTTTTGTAATCAGGATTTTAACGAATTACAAGAACATTGGTTATTGAACAAAGACAAGTCTCCAGTCTATATATACAGTGAGTGCTCAATTTGTTCCATTTGTAAAAAATGAATCCATGAAGTGAACATTCTTGGCAATGGTAATATTTTAACGGGTGCAAGCAATTTGTGGCAAGGGTCAGTAATACCATATACCAGAATACTATTAAAATTATAGACAAAGCAGCCAAGTAAGATAAAAATGTGAAAAGGTTCCATTCAATTGCATTAAATATCAGAGAAGTCAGACAGGCTAAATTTTGACTGATTGATCGGAAACAAAAATCGCGACGGGGGCAATTTCGTCATTTTTCGCGTCGGTGTCGGAATCGGCTAAAATTTGACTGATCGATCGGAAACAAAAATCGCGCCGGGGGCAATTTCATCATTTTTCGCGACGGTGTCGGAATGGGCTAAAATTTGACCAATTGATCGGAAATAAAAATCGCGTTGGGGGAAATTTCGTCATTTTTCGCGACGGTGTCGGAATTGGATAAAATTTGACCGATTGATCCGAAACAAAAATCGCGCCGGGGGCAATTTCGTCATTTTTCGCAACGGTGTCGGAATCCGCTAAAATTTAACTGATTGATCAGAAACAAAATCGCACCGGGAGCAATTTCGTCATTTTTCGCGACGGTGTCGGAATCGGATAAAATTTGACCGATTGACCCTAAACAAAAATCGCCCCAGGGGCAATTTCGTTATTTTACGCGACGATGTCGGAATCCGCTAATATTTAACAGATTGATCGGAAAAAAAAATCGCCCCGGGTGCAATTTCGTCATTTTTCGCGACGGTGTCGAAATCGGCTAAAATTTCACAGATTGATCAGAAACAAAAATCGCGACGGGGGCAATTTCGACATTTTTCGCGACGGTGTCGGAATCGGCTAAAATTTGACTGATTGATCGGAAACAAAAATCGCGTCGGCGGCAATTTCGTCATATTTCGCGACGGTGTCGGAATCGACTAAAATTTGACTGATTGATCGAAAACAAAAATCGCGCCGGGGGCAATTTCGTAATTTTTCGCGACGGTGCCGGAATCGACTAAAATTTGACTGATTGATCGGAAACAAAAATCGCGTCGGCGGCAATTTCGTCATATTTCGCGACGGTGTCGGAATCGACTAAAATTTGACTGATTGATCGAAAACAAAAATCGCGCCGGGGGCAATTTCGTAATTTTTCGCGACGGTGCCGGAATCGACTAAAATTTGACTGATTGATCGGAAACAAAAATCGCGTCGGCGGCAATTTCGTCATATTTCGCGACGGTGTCGGAATCGACTAAAATTTGACTGATTGATCGGAAACAAAAATCGCGCCGGGGGCAATTTCCTCATTCTTCGCGACGGTGTCGAAATCGGCTAAAATTTGACTGATTGATCAAAAACAAAAATCGCGCCGGAGGCAATTTTGTTATTTTTCGCGACGGTGCCGGAATCGACTAAAATTTGACTGATTGATCGGAAACAAAAATCGCGCCGGGGGCAATTTCGTAAGAAAATCACCTCATAAAATTTAGCATCGTCAAATATTATAAAGTTACTCAAGGTACTTCTCACAAAACCAATACAACAGGCACCAAGTCTTATGAGCCCATAAAAATTATATATTGCTATAGAATCAGTGTCGTTCGGCACAAAGAAAGTTTACTTTCTCCTAACAGCTAAGCTACTCCACAGAATCCCTCCTTCAATATTCATAAATGGAGCAACCTTCACTCGCAATCTTCGATCATCATAATTCTTAAATAAAAAATGGACTACTTTTTTTTTTTTTAAATAACTCAATATACGCCATAAAATCCCCAAAAGAGTTCATTTCTGTCCCAACGTTATTTCCACAAAATCAGTCAATATTTATCTCCAAGCTAGTAACAATACCCATCACTGCTGATTATCAAGTCCTACTACAACAAACTACAGTTTATTCCAAACAAATTTGATGTTGGTTACATGAACCCACTTTTGTCATTCAACTCAGGCCATCGCTACATCTAATGGAAGGTCCGATACTACACTTAGCTTATGAACAAGTAATTCCTACAAAAATACAAAACTTAAATCACTATTGTTTCATAGATCCTCAGGCGCTCAAAAGTACATCAGGCTGGAAGCTTCTTCCCTAATCATCTCACTGAATCCCACAATGGCTAGTTCTACTTGTGTTCTACTATCCTGAAAATCATTGGTATAACAACCATCTTAAAAAGAAGATACCATGGCTTCATATATATCAGTTCCCTTTCTCCTAACCTAAGATGCTACTCAGATGATTGCCGCTAGTTCTTTTGGGATACCTTAATTACTGGTAAATGAAAGGCATGGTGGCATTCCCCAGCCTTAAAGTCCTCTAGCTTGCATACCCTTCAACTGGTCCACAGATATCATCTCTTCTCCTAACTCTGATGTAATTTAACCTTGTGCAATATTTGTTGTCATTTAGAGATCCAATACAGAATTGTATAGGGCCATTCCTATTAAAGAATAAATTCCTAACTGCTATTCGAAGAACTTATTTGACCCTTGTTTGAGCCCCATTCTTTAAAAACACATTTTCCCCCAAATTCATTTTCAACCACACATTCTCTCAATAAAATAACTTTACATGTAAACCAAAAAATTTCCTACTCTTTAACCACACATTCTCCAAAAAACCAGTATTACAAAATTTATTCTCTCAAAGAATGGAGCTCAAACAAATCATTGAACGTCAAGATCGCTACAAGATCTTCCTGTTTACTTGCTTTCACATGTCTTCTTAGCTCCCCTTAACTTCAGCATTTATTATTACTGGCATGAGTCTACAATTTTTTGCTTCTTTACAGCCATATGTATTGCTCCCTGTGATTATACAACTTTATATCCCAATCCAACATGGCATTTGCTCAGCATGGGAAAGAGACACACAAGACTAGATCTAATTAGTTACTGAGCCACCAAATCCCAGAACATCATCTCTGTCAACCTAGAAGAAGCAATTCCAACAACTGATTCTGAGGATTATATAAACAAAACCACTTTGGAATAGTGACTGGTCAATGATCTAGCAAATCCAGTCGGCAGAAAAGTTGTCGATGGAGGTCAGTATTGAGAAAGCTCAGAAGAGTAGTTCTCAATTTCAGCATAATCCAACATTTGCTCATAACTTGTGGAGCCCATCCCAATCTAGTTATACGGCAGCCTAGATAATTTTAAAAAGTACAAGATCCGCCAAATCCAGGGATTTGAGAAGAGCCTGGCAGGCATTAAAGTCAATAGTTTGCAAGATTTTAACAAATCATTTACACTATATGGGACAACTCATCAATTGCCCAATTCATCTATAAATACCCAACGGCCATACCACAGGCATTACAAGAAAACAATGCCACAATACCATTCGATAAAAATACATTCATAAAAATCCCCCGCACATATTATATTCAGGCACACAAGATATTTGTATCCTCATAGCATATTCTGACTTGACTGTTGGAGTGTGCTCTGCCCCTCCCCCTTAGGTTGGCGAAACATGCTAACTGGTCTTGTCTTGCAGGTTGATTAGTGACTCAGTGAGCACAAGTTCGTACTTAGCAGGTTATAGCATTAAACTAGAAACCCTTATATAAAGATAATCATTTTTTTGGGCTAGAGCTTTTATGCTTGGACCTTGATGGTTAGTTGGTTTACAACGGTGTTCTTTTACTCATCTGTACAATTTGAGCCCAAATTTTGCTTGTTGCAGTCTAATGAACAAGATCCCATTAGATTTTTGTGACACACAGGCACAGAGCTATCTGCAGACTGCAGGGCACATTTAAAATCTTCCTGATTCGTAATTGGCGTTACCTAAACAAACAAACTCAAGTCATTGCTCTAATTATTTGTTTCTCAAGTCTAGTTCATCTAATCAATGTTTAGTGCAAGAGTATTCCATTAAAGATTTGAAATAACTGCCTGAATCCATGTTAATATGCTAGAACCAAACTAAATTTATTGCCTAACTATTTTGTCAATGGACATGTCCTCAACCATTTCAACCTGAAAACTAGGTTTGGGCGTTGAGTGTCACCAAATACATATTTTAACACCTTCTTAATCCACTGCAAATATGCCATCAAATAGCATCCAATATCTAGTATAATAGCATCAAATTTTGGTGGTGGCTCTGCGAGCGGTGCCTCAAGGGTCTGTGGATCGGAAAATGTATAAAGTGTGGTCAGGAGTGGTTATAAACGAGAGTTCTATGATTCAATTATTCAAATAAATGAATGTGATTGATTAGTGCATAGCCACTTGTTGGATCTTGCAAACTGACTACTTGTTGATCCAGGTCATTTGGCTAGTTTGAATAAATTGTAAAAAAATATAAATTATAAATTATAAAAAAAATGATAAATTCGATTTCAAAGTCAGGTACCTAGGACTTTGTTTCAAGAAACCAAGAACCGTCCATGACCCCATAGATTATCGGTTCTAGTTCCTAGTTTTTTGTGGAATCGAATTAGAACTCCAATTTTGGTTTCAGTTTCAGTTAGAGAGGTTTAGCTCCAGTTAAAAATGCTCACACCTACTAAAACTCATCCCCACATTAGATAAACCCCTTGTACCCTATGCAATCCACTCCTCATCATCATTTTCAACAACTACACCTGCATTTGGATTCAGTCAACGTACAAAAACCCTCAGAAGAATTGGTTTACGAAAGACCAGAAAGGCAGATATAAGCAGCAACAACGAAACCCATTTAACATATATCCTCCCTTTCATCCTACCGGCCCTGACCATCAATTCCTTGAATTTCTAGAATCTTAACTTGCTTTCTATTGTGAAATTTATTACATAAAACATAACAGAGGAGCCAAAACGACTCAGGTGTTTGCATCCACTTCTTTTATTCTTCAAAAAGTTTCTTCATCCTTTTACCATTGAATGTTCAACAACCTATACAAACTCCTCATTCACGGTAGATTTCTTTGAATTCAAGCATTCATTACTGCACCTATAAAGCTCAGAGATATTTATGAATTTCAAATCTGTTGCACTATGTTCCTTCTCTCTGCTATAGTCTGGTAACATCATCCTCAACTCTGGAAATGATAGGAGAATAAGATGAATATAGAGATCAGAAGTAATCTAACTACAAAACAGGCTTTCTTTAAATCTTATATATCAAAGAATAAGCTAGGCAATGTCCGTATTTCCCTTAAATATGCTTTCTTTAAGCTATTACTAGGTGTTTCTCCATCTTAATCTGTCTAAACAGTAGGGAAACCAAAATATCCATTTACCCCAAAATTTATAATTAAGACATTTGCATCTCTATTCGACTATTCTCAATCTATTATTAACTACCTAGCCAAATATGTTACAGCAAGTGTTGAATCCCATGAAGCATGACAAGTGATAACTTATAGCATCAATCAAAAGAAATAAAGAAAAAATTCCATATTTACGTTTCAAAATCTGTGGTAACCAATATTCATGATTTTGCTGCAACTGTAACAATGTAACACAATCAAAAACCAGAAGATTGTGTGAATGAATATGATTTTGACTATAGAATGCTATTGTAATTTCTATTAAAAGATAATTTTGAATGAATTCAGAGATCATCCATGGGCATCAAACTATGGTGGCTCCATTGCAATACAGGCTGTCTAGAACCTTGCTTGCACACTAGGGTTCATGAATTCAAGTTCTCATTACAATCATTTGAACCATTTTTACTGCATGCCATCCTATCAAACCAACTCTATGTTGAATATGTAACAATTTTTGCAAATGGATCTATTTATTTCATCTATACTTCGCTACATATCTTGTGAACAAAACAAGTGAATTCTTTATTCTGAAGCCAAAAGATAATATGAGTTTACAATCTTATGCAATAGAAAATTTCATTTTAGGATTTTACAAGAAGTAGCTGAATAAAGCCTCTAATCCATTATTACAACGCACATTCTCCTATTGGTTTGTTCCGCCCTTATCCTAAAGAAGACATTCTGACACCAATGACTGGAATATGGAACCCTTTGAATATGACGATTTATAATAAGCCAGTGCATGTGGGAACGAAAGGTGAACCCCTTAGATACGTGGTTAATCTGCAAGTGATCTCATTGTCCGATTTCTAAAATACTCAATTCCTTAGTTTAAAGTTGCCACAGTGGAACAATCAATCTATAAAACAATAATTTCTGCATAAGCAAAAAAATAAGTAAATCATAGAAAGCTTTACCTGCATGCTAGCATTCTTCGATGGATCAAGTTCTAATGGTTCGCCAATAAGTTCAGATTCACTGTAGCAAGTATTAGCATCAAATGGCTGGTTTAAGGTAACAAATAAGAGTTATAGCACAAGGGAGGGCATCAAACATAGAACCTAGTAAAAATCAAGCAGAACCACATCTTGCATTGTACAAAATACGCATGGCCAATTGGATGACAAAATGTTTAGTGATAACACATGGAGAACAGTACTTGAATGAATTGGTTTGCCACTCAAAAGAACATATTACACAATCAATAGGAAATCAAGAAATTATAAAAAGTTTCACACAATTCAGCGTCCAAAAAATTTCTTCACAAAAACTTCTACCAATGCAATGTGCACTCCCAAATCTACATTCTTCTCAACTTAAATATTTTGGTGTTCTGCCTCCCTAATCCTGAAGTTTAAAAGCCATGTAGATGAATAGCTAGGAGTTGCAACACTGACTAGAAAGATTTCAAGGAATGTGTAAAAAGTTATCACATCTGATATAAGAAGACAGAGAAAATCGACACTATAAGGGGAAAATTGAAAAGAAATAGTAGCGTACATATGCGCCACAAAAGGTAGGTGACATGGGAATGTTGTTGCCAAAAGACACAAAATAAAAGAAAAAATTCACTTACCTAAACACAACAACAACGCTCCCTTCTCATTATACAAGAAGAGGAAGAGTTTAGTGAGAGAAAGCAGAGAGAAAAAAGACAATGAATCTCTTCAATCATCTAGTCTATAAAGTCTTTAACAATGAGAAAAGATAGATTGTCTATGTGTCACCAACTAATGAAGGGAAGATATGAAAAAGGTGCTAAAGAGACAGATCGATGACATTGAAGATTTCCTGCAAACAAGTCTCCTATGAAGAAGTAGATGTACAAGAATTTGGCCATGCCCAAATAATATTTCACAAATATTAGGCTCAAGTAATGGTCTACCTTTCTCAATTCATCTTATAAGTAATGTCCAAAGTCATAAACAATACTCAGATAAAAAAAATCTTCAACATCATTCAATTACATAAAATAATTAGTGAAAGAACATACTTGTCAACATGACATTGAAGATTTCCTGCAAACAAGTCTCCTATGAAGAAGTAGATGTACAAGAATTTGGCCATGCCCAAATAATATTTCACAAATATTAGGCTCAAGTAATGGTCTACCTTTCTCAATTCATCTTATAAGTAATGTCCGAAGTCATAAACAATACTCAGATAAAAAAAATCTTCAACATCATTCAATTACATAAAATAATTAGTGAAAGAACATACTTGTCAACTGGACCAGACCAGTCAGGAACATACGCTTGAAACTCATTTCCAATTCGAATGTTGGACATATATGGCTCAATGTCTCTGAGCATGTATTCTATGAGACCTAATGCATCTACTGATGCTGAATTTCCATTTTGGCCAATATCAGTATTGATATTCACTAAATTACTGGTAGATTTATCCTTCAGTAATTTATGCTTCTTTTTCAGGCAAGTGTTGCAAAGCCATTCACCAACTGGTATTCTCTTTATTCTAGGACTGCAGCAAGACATATGAAATGAATCTTCGCAACTATCACATATCAACATATTTAGTGTAGTTTCCACCTGCTCGCAAACTTTGCACTTCTTTGAACAGAAGTTGTCAGTTGTAATACCAGTATCTTTATCAGCTGCATAATTCCGTCTGGTCCAACCTTTTTCAAGCCTCCCCTGGCTTCTGAGAATTGAAATGCATATATCTCTTTCTGACATATCATCTGAAAACTTCCTGGCAATCGATGTGCCAGAGGAGGAGCACTCACCTTGATCGCCCACATCAGTTTTCAAGTGAGCCGAACCAAAGTCCAAATTTGATTTTGATAATGAATAATTATCATTAACACTCCAGATATCCAAACCTCTTTGCGCATTATTTCTAGAGGCTTCTTCAGAACTAGTTTCATTTCTAACAGGATGTCTACTAAAGGATTTCGCAGCCCCTGTACTGCATTCAACTGGCAGTAAAATTGGCAGTCTAGCAGCTTCTGGTGCAAGCTCAGATACAGAAACCATGTGCTCTTGCGCCTGCAATGAAGCAGACTCAAAATTGACGGCAGAATTATAACATCCATTAGGCTTAGTGTCACCGGATGCCTGGGTTGTGCAAATAGCAATGGAGTTCCTCCTATGCTTCTTACGTTGGTATACAAGAGTATGTGTACAATTTTGAGACATTGTACTGGCAGTTGATAGATGGGAACAATTTCTTGTACAATAGAAGGAACATAAATCATCATCAGTTTTTCGACCCTCAGAAAAATGTTCTTTACAGCCACCCAAATGATATTGGCTGCATGTTGAACAATTCAGACAACTCTTGGTACCTCGTGTGCAGTCACATAAAAGTTCTTTGTTCATGAAGTCAGATCTGTAAAAAAGAGTAAGTTCTTCTGCACTAGGATGAGAACTCTGTATCAGCATTGTCAACTGTACCATGTATACAACCTGAAGCCATCAGATTGACATTTTCTCGCACTTTCAGATATCAGAATCCAAAAGACAATGTTTAAGGAGAGAACAGCGTCAAATCACTGATTCATGTTGCAACCTAATTCAGGATAAGAAACAGGTATAAAGTATTAGAGAAATAATGCCAGATAACTAACTGAAAGACCTTGTATTATAAGTTCTTTCTTCAATTGCATTAAGAAAAAGGGAGAAAGAGTGGGCTTCTAAAAGCAATTAGCTAGTGCCTCATGCCTGAGTCATATATCAATAGGCACAGCATAGAAGTAGCATAACACCATAACTTCAATTGGATAATAAAACATCCTCAGCCATAAAGAATTCGAAAATGAAAGAACCAAGCCATAGTTGACAATTTCTTGCACGTCATTATGAGATCACGATCAAACTTAATTGAACCCACCCCAAACAAACACACGTCCTCCAACCAAAAAATAAAAGAAATGAGGCCCCAATATATGGTCCATACATGATTCTCAATTTGTAGGTCTTACCCAGTTATAGACATCCTAATCAGTTTCATTCGAATTCAGGTTTCATTCCACATGCTCAAGAGCATCACACAGATTTTCTGTCCCCATATCTCTCTTTATAATGCTACTACTGCAGCCCTACAAATTCATTGTCTAATTCTGCACTTGTGGTCTCTCCACATCCCAATTTAAACATCCATGCTTCCACTACACGTCATACAAAGGTGTTCTTTCTCAGGGACGTAAAAATTTGACTAACTGCATAAATCTGTCTTATAATATATAGACATCTCATAATCTATCTCTAGACATAGAGATATTAAATTGCTTACACAAATATTAAGTGTGCAGGTCCAATTTTCAAGATTTTCACTTTTTAGCCCATTTGTCAATCTTTCTGAATCACACTGCAAATTTTGGGCATATAGAGCTTAGAATCATCTTCGTGCTGATCAAAATAACATCACCCACATCATTCTTTTCCCATTTTTTACCTTTAGACCCAATTTTGCATCTGGGTTTTTCCTTAAAATCATTGATACGGTTCAGATGGGTTGCAAGAATTAATTAAACGATTACAAACGAATTTACCAGATTAACATTTGTTCACATGGTTCCAATTGAATAATCCATACATGTATGTGTATATGCATCTACACTGGATATGGGTCATTGATAATTGCTAATCATAAAGCAGTATAAAATCCTCACAACCATTCACATAAGATTCTTATGAAGTACAACAAATTTTCAAGAAATAAATGTAAAATATATTATTGGAATCTTTTTATACCTTCAGCCTCCCATTGTACCAGTTGCATCCGCAAGTTCTCTTCTGGCGAGTTTTGCAGGACTTTGGGGGTTTCAATATCTCTGGGTTTCACAGAGAGAGAAAATAGAGAGAGGTATATTTCTGTTATGCACTACCAGACCAGCAAAATATTTGTATGGGCAGAGGCAGACTTTGAAAAATACAATTAAAAGGACTTCCAAATTATATTTTTAAACTTTTTTTTTCCCAATTCTTGAAAATAAATTGAGGAATTGGGATCTGGTCCAGTTTTAATAGTACAAGTTTTTGGATTGTACGTACAATATTGAATTATTTTAGATTTTAAAGAAGAATAAAGAAATTGTATCTGATTTTATAACATTGTTGTACAAAATATAAAGTTTATATATTAAATTATATAATACATATAAAAGAAAAGAGAAAAATCAATTTTTTCTTTATCCCATTTGTAGGCCGTATTGTTGAATATTAGGTATTAGATATGTCAATAATATTTTTAACAATAAAATGAAAAACTCAGTGGTTTCTATATTTAGAAAAATCTATCAATAGAAACGTCGTACCTACTCTTCCTCGATTAAGTTTTAATATATTTTAATAACTAATATATATTATCCTAAAAGGATAATTGGTGCATAACCAAGTTAAATAGATTAAGAAATAAATGTTTATATTAAACAAAAATTTTGTCCCTTGCGAACTCAAATTCTCATCCTCAAAAGGTTTAAATCACTTTGCAAATGTAATAGATTGCATTTTACAAGCATAAAGAGTTTAAATTGCAACATTATATGCACAAGGAGTTCTCCTTGGATAAAGATTGCAAGTTTAATTTGTTAACATATATAAAACCATTGCATTAAAGAAGCAAAATCTTATCAACTCGTGATTTAAAGTTAGAGACGTTGAAAGTGTTGTATATGTATAGATATTTATGACATACATTCTTTCACACACACACCATTTTTGAAAAGTGCTTATAACTCACAAAGTAACATAAAGGGAAAAATACAAATAGACGACATATGTAGTGTTTAAAAGTTATTTCTCTCAAAGGTACATAGATGCTATATGTTGTTCATGTTACACAAAGGGCGTAATAATTTAAGATGAGTGAAGTATAAAACAAGAAACTACGTCTTATATTTCAACATGAGAAATCAAAAGAATTCAAATGTATGAATGCTGCCTCCAAAAGCATCTGATCCCAGATTCACATTCAGTTTCTCAACCTGAAACAAGTGATCTTTTCTAAGCTAGATTTTGGACGCCATAGCATAAGAACAGGACCAGTTCAAAGGCACTGCAATTTTGATCCTTCAGACCCGACCCAAATTTAAAGTTGCATAAACAGGTTACATTCTCCATCACAGCACCTAAACATCAGGTGATTCGATCAGATAAGCATGACAATTATATCAGATAAAAATGTTAATTATACGAACTTAAGCACAAGAAACGTCAATGTCCAGATGGGGAAACAGGGAGTTTGAAGGCATAAAAATCTCATAGGCATCACACAAGCCACATGAGATACATTAACTAACTCCTTATTCATTTCTAGCAAAAATTTGTAGATTGCTGTTAGATAAGAAGGCATCTAACAAGCATGGTTTATATCGTTTGAGATGCTCGTCATGCAGGACATCCTTAAGGTGAAAAACATTACACAAAAAATAAGGGCGTGGTTAGTTTCCATTTTCATTTTCCATTTTCATTCTCAAAACGATTTTTAGTTTTCTCCGAAAACGGCCCGTTTTCCGCGTTTTGAGCGTTTTCAACATTTATAACTGAAAACGCTAAAAATGATAAAAAGTCGTTTTGCGTTTTCAATTATAAATTTTAACTCGTTTTCGAAAATGCGTTTTTGAAAACGACGTACCAAATGCGTTTTCCGCGTTTTCGAAAACGAAAAATGGGCCGAAAACGGCAAACCAACCACAACCTAAGTTTTTATAGTTTGAAACTCACGTATTAAAAGATATATATTTAAATTTAAATAATGGTCGTCTGAGATCAATCATTAATCAATTTCCCGATAAGGAATTTAATTTCTTCCTACCAACATTCTAAAATCATGATAGATAAGCCAATCCTTTTCCCTCTTTTATTTGTAAATCAGTAATCTAGCATCCTGGATTTGTATCCTTAAGGGTCACAAATAGCAATTTTCTTAGTCCCAACCTTGAAAGTTGAATATCTATTGCCAAAAGCACATGAAATTATGAGAAATACAGTCAACAAATTTCTACAGACCAAATATACTAAGGACCCGTTTGGCATAGCTTTTACTTTTGTTTCTTGTAAAAGAACTTTTGAAGGAAGCTACCATAATTTTTGTTTGAAAACTAATATTTAAAAGCACTTCCTATTCCAGAGGTGCTTTTAGACCATATTGCACCAACTTCCTCTAAAAGCTCTTAACTATCAAAAACACTTCAACAAAATTAGCCAAATGGATCCAAAAACAACTTTTGGGTCTCAAAAGCTCATTTGACTTTTCAAAAGTCATGTCAAATGGACCCTAAAGCATCTTGCCTTTTATTTCTTAGCAAAGACAATCTTATGGAACTAGATTAAGCATTGGACAAGCATGCTAAGAAATCAAATGCAATCATATAAGCCACTATTCTCTGTCACATCAAAGCATGAAAATCCACCTTCTCACTTAGTCACCAGGATGCTGATATGTATGGTTATGGGCACAAAGAATAGATAGTATGACTCTGTGTGAGACAGATAGCCGAGCCAAAAGGCCAAAATAATACCTCTGGGACTGGAATCAATCCATTTAGACCCCTTGCATTGGCTTTCTGTGAGGCTTTGGGGCTGAATCAAAACAAATACAGTCATCACTTCACATGCCAGCAATTAAATTAATAGAATGAAGATATAAAAAATTAGAATTGACAGTATACAAGCATGTGATGTATGGAGTTGATATCCTAGAAAAACATAAAGTTGCAGAAGTGCACAAGTCTAGCCTAACACCGGATAACAGATACAGCATGTGAATGGATCCAAATCCTCTATAATATTTCTATACAACAAAAGAAGATTTTAGTTTGAACATACATCCTCAGTTATAAGGACAAAATACTTTGGATGAGACCGGAATTTTACGATCTGTAACTTTATTGGACCGGAAGGATGACAATTTCTAACATTGGCATCAAATTATAAAAAATTCACCAACTTTATTGATGATGTTAGGCATTTAATAAGGTTTTAGGTTATTTAAACGTGTTAATTAAATATTAAGAAGCCAGATCAAGCAGGATGTATACATTTCAGATGGCATGTGTTATTGATAGGTTAAACAAGATGGGAATGCTTGTGATCCTAATCCAATAAGAACATTAAGGTTCTAGATCGTTCACCAAAGAAATGCCTTTGCAATTGATTAATAAATAAACTCCTGAAGTGATTCTAGAGATCATACATTGAATTTTCCTTTTTGTGTTACAACCTTCCCATTTTAAGCAAAAATCTGTAAATGTAAAAATGTTAAATTGCCGGGACAACAACTAGAACTAATATACATACCATTGGGATTTCCTTGTTCATAGAAGCTTCTTAAAAGATTGACTGCTTCTGATGCCATTACTCCTCCAGTAGACTTGAAACCCTTTTTCGAAACTCCACTGTCAAAAAGTTGAAAATTACAAGAAAGAAACTAATTAGAACATATCTTCCAACCATTAATCGAAACCAAAATTTAGAGGGGTATTTATCAAAAAACCGGAAAATAAAGACTCTTTTGTTGTGACCCTTCATTATTACTCTAACTAGATCCCAGGATAAGCCAAACATTTGAATTTTAATTGCCAGTTATGTCCTGTGCTCTTATTGATTATGCAATATTATGAAAAAGTAACAAATGCAGTTGCAACATTTATGGAGAGACCGGTAGTTTAGCACCATAAATTGCATACCAACTTAGAGTCTTAGAAATTAGCAAGAACACCATCCCTGGATGAAGTATCTCATAAGGAGGTGCAAGAAATTTAAACTAAATAAAGTATATTGCTTTTCTTTATGGAGAGAGAGTAATGCAGAAGCAAAAATTGCATAGGAACTCAAACGTTAGAGAGAGCCTCCAGCCCAATTAACCAATTTTTATTGGATCCAGTTATCCAATCTTTACTTCCATACATAATTGAAAGACCCGCATATGAAAATAGAAGACCGATTAATGTTAAGAATTGATATATGTAATTTTGCTGAACCACCCGATCCAAAAGCTTAATCTAATGGAGCAGAAGTAAATATATTTATTTAAACTCTTCAACACAATCCCTTACATGCATGCTCCTTTTTCATCAAATGATGTATAAGTGTTCAATTTTTATAAACAGGAGGCGGGGACACTTAACCCAGAACTTCATTTATTGTATAATACAACCTCGAAGTAGAGCGATTATTAAAACTTGTAGCAAAAAGACGAGTTTCCCACGACCAAAAATCAGAACCTACTGAAGAGGTTGCTTCATATTTTCTATAACAGACACGAATAAGAAGGTACACTAGACCTCAAAGCAAATTCGACCACATTATAAGCCCTGGTTGCATCTGTTCCCACCCACATGCTAAGCTTAAACTATTTGCTTTCCAAGTTTTTGGCCACATACCATGTGTACCACTATAATACTATTCAATCATGACTTAAGACTAAAAGAGGAAAAGGGAATACATTGAGCTCTCCTATAACCACAATGATTTCAGACTGCATAGTATACGAAAGAGACAGTAAAGCTTATCAACAAGTATTGCCCATAAAATACCAGGAATCACAAGTATTATATAATCCAACACGTATGTCCAAAAATATACTATGACAAATAGCTTTTACAGGTTAATGCTTTTCTAGAAATGAAAAGAGGTTAGAATCAAACCTATTGAGATTTTCAGAGCTATTCGTATGCAAGGACAAAATTGACCCACACCCTCCAAATTTATCATTTGCACAGCCGTAGTATACTTCTTTTATGCCTATATGAAGATCATGACGTTGCCCAAAGTTAAAATAACTATTAAATGTAACATTTATTATGCAAATAAACTTCTTTGAGCATACCAATTATAGATAAAGCGGCTGCACACATTATACATGGTTCACATGTAACATAAAGAGTGCATCTTGAGAATTTTGAAGCAACTTCTT